CTCCTGTTCAGCCCCTCTTGCAGTTTGGTCTCCAGGTGTTACTCTGTCTCCAAGCTTGCCTCCAGGCAGATCTGCTCATCTCTTCCTTTAGAAGGCTGCCAGGCAACAGGGAAAGTAACCATCAGCAGGTGTAAGCTGCAGCTGATTATTTTGGGCTCTTGGTTTGTTTTCTCAGCAGCCACAACTGTTCTGTCACAAGAATAGCAATGCCACCTCAACTCCCAAAGACCTTCGTGTCTTCCTTCCCTCCCATTCTGTGGGGCAAATCAGGAAGCAAGTTTTTTCAGATTTTAAAAGGGGAAGCTTTGGTTGTGGCACACTGTCAGCAAGTCATTTTTAAGCGGTTGTGTATGTAAGCATAACCCCATGCTGCTGTCAAAAGAAGTAGTCCCATCCTCCTTTTTATGGGGTTGCATCAAGTCCAGAGCAGCTTCAAGAGTCAAATCACTGTCCCTTTGTTTATGCCAGCAGAACTTCACCAGTGTTTGTGCTGGTGCAAGAGAGGGTGTGGTACCAGGGGCAGGAAGACTGACTGGGAGCTGAAGGAAGGCATAGGAACATTTTAGTTTACAGGGCACGTCGAGCTGAACATGTGATTCCGTGTGTGGGTGGATGAGCTGATGTAGTTTGGTATTACCTAAGGGTGGAAACTGCTGGCTGTGTGGTGCCAGCCCCTCTCTTCCTCTGGCACTAGTTTGACCTATCCAAAGGACAGCTTAGCTGTAGAACATCCCACTTGTCTTTTGGTTTGTTGTTTTCTTTAATGGAAGTTACCTTTGCTCATGTAGGTGTCTAGAGAGTGTGATAGCTGACACAGGGAAAGTGGTGGGAGCATGTGGGTTGTGGAGATGGGGAGGAGTAGCACATGCCCCTAATCCATAGTGAGCTGTGGTAGTACTTGTATGGCTTTGCCTGAAAAAGAAATAGTGCTGTTTTCAGGCTGCCCCACTCCCAGGTCCTCCTCCTGTACACTACCAGTGGCACTTGTGCAGGCAGCTGGAGCAGGTTTCCTTGCGAAAGCACTGGTTTAATTTTCAGCTGATTGAGGGCTTGATAGCATTGCCTGTCTGAATGGGAGGACCAGTGTAAGGGAAGGTGCAGAAACACATGTGGAGTTGGGCAGCACAGGACATGCCCTTTCTCTGTGAAAGCCCTTCTGTAGTTGTCACAGAGTGGGTGTCAAGTGTAGAGTCCACAGGATGTGCTCACACAGGGGGATAACTTTGCACGTGAAAGTTAATGTGAGAACATGTATGAGGAAGACATAGTTACCCTGTGATTTGTTCAAGTAGGTGGATTGAGTGCCCTTCAGAGTTACAGTACTTAGGACAAAATAGGCTGTCTGTCATTTAAGTGGAATTTCTCAGTGTATGTTTTCTTTGCGTAATATTTCTTTTGGAATGATGCATGGAGGTACTTAGAAAGCTGACCAGGGCTGCTTTGAATATAGCTGTGGACATACTTGATTAGTTACAGTTATATATATTAGAAAAAATGTTCTATAACACTTACTTGAAGGTAAGGTTTCACAGCAGAATTGGTGTATGCCAAGTGTAAATTTTTGCACTTCTGATTTGGAAGTGGCACTTCAGTAGGGCATGGTTATTGGATTCAGTGGTGTGTGGTTTAAACAAACTTGTTCTCAGAATTTTGAAAGATTGCTCAAGAAATGACTAAGGTGAGACATGTCGTTATTAAAGTGATGCAAAAATCATTGCATACTGACGTTGTTTACTGCCTACAGGATCAACCTAGTTTTGTTTCTTTGTAGAAATTCTTTCCATCAGTCTGTAAAGGGACTTCTGTTTGTGCTTTCGGTCACATTCATCCATGTGAAATGCACATTTTAATTGATTACATAGGCATATGTAATTTGCCTGCCTGTCTCTGGGACTGTTCATGTAAAGTATCAACTGACCCTTCAGGAGGCAGAAAGGGTCAGTGTACCACAACTGCTTGTGGAAAAGACATAGGTTTGTTTATCAGCTTCAGCTGTCTGACTCAGAGTTCTCTAACATTTTGCTGCTCTAGCCACTTCCTTGAGCAGTCTGTAGAGATTTATGTTCTCGTAAACTATTAATTTTCTAAGTATTCCATAGTGTTTATAGTTAAAAGCTGTATTTTCTTGTTTCTTCAAATAAATGCTTCATTTGTGTGTGTTGTTTGGTTTTCAGCTGCAGGACTTCACATGAGGCAAATTGCTGGTCTTGGCATCTCCACGCAGAGAGGAACTTTCATTACATGGCACAAGTATGTCTATTGTATGTTTTTAAAAGGAATTTATATTCATAGACTGGATGGAAACAGATTGTAGAAATGTTGAACTCAATCAATTCATAACCTGAAAGTAAAAATTGTCAGTCATTCATGTTCTCTTGTGTTTGTGCAGCCATACCTTATAGAAGTTCAGAACAGCTTGTAAGTGTATGGCCCCTTGTTTTGTTCTTAGTGCTCTGGAAGAGATGAGTACATACATATTTTCTAGGTCTGGTGAGAAGTCTCACACTCAGAGTGTCCTCATGCCTATTACTAATTCCTCAAATCCACCAGGAGGGTATGCACTTATTTTAGGAATTGATCTAGTGTCCTGATTGGAAATGCTGAGTGATGGTGAATTGTTTGGGCAATCTGTGTTCTGTAGTTTTAAAGAGGAAATGTTCAAATGCTGTTTTTCAGGAGGACAGGGAAGCCTTTTCATAATTTCATAAGTTGGCAAGACTTAAGAAGTGCTGAACTTGTGAATTCCTGGAATAAGTCCCTTCTGCTGAAGGTAAAACTGTGCTGGACATATTAGAGCTGTTTCAGTTTTGACAGTAAGGGCAATATACAAAATACTGCAGGTGTGCTGTTCTCATGGTAATGTGATGTGCTGTGGCCTAAAAGCATTTAATTGAGCAATAGTAGCATGGAAGGTAGTGTCAAGAAAAAAATGCAGTACCAGTAGCCTGAAGGTGATTAATTTGGAAGAAGATACCTGTAGGTCTAACACACATTTTGTATCTTTTTAGTCTCTTTGTTATGTTAAAATGTTGCATGTTAACACTACTACAGCATAATTGTGTGATGTAGGTAGGTAGTTCTTGGTTGGCAGAGTTTTGGGCTTCTTGTTTCTTGGGTTGGTTTTTTCATGTACTCTTTGCTCAGGTTATCTATAGAAGGTACATTTTATGCTGCTCATGGCTCATGTTTTGTGCCTTTAGAAGAGAAAGATTTGCTCTAAGTAGAAAACCAGAAGTAATTCTTCCTCTAAATGGAAACTAGCTAGCACACTCACAATAGGAAATTAAGCTCTCAGGTTTGCCACTGATTTCTTCTGTGCAAGCTTGGTGACTAAATTTTGGTAAATCTTAGTTATGATTGAGCCTGTCAGCTGTAGGAGACCTTTCACTGGAATAGCAGTGAGTGTAATGCTGTCAGCCACATCATGCATTGTGCTCATACAGGTGGCCAGTCTTTGTAATGCAGAGTCTGTCAGTGTGCCAGCAGAACTCAGGGAAACAGACAATCCTTGCACAATCCTACCTAAGGATTCTCTAACAAAGTTAGCTTTCTGTATCTGATCTCATGTCAGCAGCTCTCCTCTGTGTTGTCCTCCTCTAAAGACAATTGATCAGAAGCCTTTAAAGGGTGAGATTAAAAATTAAGTAACTGTTTTCTTTTGAAACAGGTAATCCATGTTATTTTTACAGTGCTTCATTTCTTAACTGGGAATGATCGATATTTGGCACCAAGTTTTCTTACTTTTTCAACACAACAAACTTCTATGAAGTTGTCATGGGTTTTTAAAAACATACCTGAGGTAAGATGGGAAGGGACAAGTAATAGCTTTCTTAGTGGTTAGTGACTTGGGTTGGCTGTAACCTCTTTAGTTTTGTCTTGCATGTTCTTTTCCTCAGAAGAACCAGAACAGATGACTTTGGTCAGTGTTCATGTTCAAAGCCTGTCTTCCTAAGTATCTGCTCATGTTCATACAACTTTTTCCTCTGATTCTGGAAATGTGTAGTAGTAAAAAGTTTTCTTCTTGCATAAGGAACATAATCAGATCACCTTATTTCTCTTGATGTAATTATATAATTAGTGCAGGCAGTAACTGTACTTTGTTTTGCAGTTGTTTGCACTCCAGTTTTGCATGACAGCTGTATGTATTTTCAATGAGCCCTCTTAGCTTTCCACTCTGCATTATTCCAATATTTTGCAGTTTCACAAATAATACCATACTGGACAGTCAGATGCTGCAATTTATTTTGCATTTTGTTGCAGTGTAAATTGGAAAATACACATAAAAGAAGTTGTGTTGGAATAATCTAATGGACTAATGAGCCCAGAGCTATTTGTTGCTATATTCATTGCTCCAATCCTTACCGTTTTCCTTCTTTCTTCTATAGTATTTATCATTTCAGTCATCTTATTTTCTGTGTTGATTTTCAAGTTATTTTTGAAGAAAATTGATTATCCATTTTCTACCCCATGTAAAGAAACCCCCAAACCTTCTGAGTTTTTGACTGGTGTTTTCTGTCACATAGCTAAGTACTGAGAAGGTCAAATACAATTTTTTACTGGCATGTGTTGGTTGGACCTGTTGAAAATGTGAGGTGTGAATTTGGAGGATTATGGAATTGAAGGTCATGCAGCTGCTGAGTTTTCAGTGCGAGATGAACACTCTCCCAAATTTTGTCTTCATACTGATATTTGAAATATGTGACTGTCAAACCAAGAAGCTCAGAAAATCATGGCTTTGGATTACAGAGAACAATATGTTCAGTCATGTTCTGAGCAGATTAGTTTGTATGTTCTGTTTATGAATTCTGTACTTGTAAATGTTACTGGTTAGTGGAAATTAGATGAAACCTGAATTTCCTATTCTAGAGGCAAATAAGATGCCAAGGAAAACAACATTTTGAACTCTTCACAGACAGTGCAAACCAGAAAACAATGGCTTTGTCTCTATGGTTGTCAAATGCTTTAAAATACACTTCTTATTTCTGTTAATTTCATATTTCAGTGCTGTATGCAGGACCTTGTTCTCTTTCTCCACCACTCCTTCACCACTGTTATAATTGAGACTATAAAGTTTTCCTTCACATTACAGTAGAAAATTAGTTGCTCTTCTTTCTCTAGTAGCAGCTGGAAGAAAATGTACTTAATCTCTGTTAGGAGCATAAACTTGTATGACAATATTAGTTCAATAGCCAACTCGACCTCTTTAGGAGAAAAATTTGCTACCATAGACTTATTTCCTGGGGACACTCTCATGAACCATGAAGAAAATGAGAAAAGGTATCAGGAAATACATTTCTCTCAATTGTACCCAGTTGTAAATACTGGTTTTGTATGCATGTTTTTCCCAGGCTGAAGAAGCTGCCAAAAAAAATAACTGCTGCTTCGGAACAGTTGACACATGGTTACTGTACAGACTGACTAAAGGTGAGTGTTACAGTTCCTCCTCAATATCAGTGCAACACGCTGGAATTGGGGAAGTACTTTGTGACTGTCAGCTCTATATTATCCAAAGTTAGATTCAAATACTGGTTTTGCCGTTTGTGCTTTTTTATAATTGAGACGTATTGTAATGTGTTTACTGTTAAAAAAAATGAACTCCTGAATTAATTGTTCTTTGGGCTGACCTGGAAGGGTGGTAATTATCCAGTGTAATCAACCTTTTAAGCACGTATGATGTAAAGAGGACTAACAGAACTGATTGGTGTGGATTGAAGTAAAGTACCTGTGAAAGGAAAAGAATAAAGAATTGCTCCAAACATGGAGTTGGATAGATTGTGACTGGGAGGGATGGAGTTGGTGTGGTACTGGTGGCTCTTTTAGCCAGGTTCCTGAGGGGAAGTCAGGTAAGTAGTGTATACACATGACAGTGAGTGGCAGGTCAAATCTGTGTGCTCATTTTGTCCTTAGGATTTTGCTCATACACACTTAGTTTATATTTCATGGGAGTCAAGGAGATGTTTAAAGAAAGCCCTTAGGTATTTGGATACCTAAAAATCTTACTTTTTTTTTTTCTTTTGAATGACAGGTTCTGTGTATGCTACAGATTACTCAAATGCCAGTTCTACAGGCGTGTTCGAGCCCTTTACGGTACGTGTTGTTCTGAAAAGCTGTTGCTATTTGTTCTGCTTCGCAGGGATTTCCTACTGGTTTTACTTTTTCCATTTTATTTCAGAGAAGTTGGAACCCCACGTTGTGTAGTCTGCTTTCTATTCCAATGTCTATTTATCCACCAGTGAAAGACACAAGGTAACTATGAGGCATGAGTAAAAGAATTTGATAACTGTAAAATTTATTGCCTTCAGAAAACTGCCCCATGATCTGCACAGCCCAAGTAATATGCAGGTACACAAAAAATGATTTACAGTTACAGTTATAGAGTCCAAAGTTTCATTTTTACTGTAAGTGTTTCTTAAAGTGATAGTTCCAGTGTTTTCTTTACAAAAAATCAGTAGCATTACTTTTCCCATGTGATGCAGACCCAGGCCTCGTGTCCCCAGATGTCATTTTAACAAAAAAGTCAATCTACTGTTGTGACATTTCATAACGTTTGTTTTAAGCTTCAACTTTGGATCAGCTGACTCTGAAATATTTGGGGTGCCTATTCCAATAATGGCAGTGGTGAGTGAAAATATTTTCTTACTTAAATATTTGTACCTATGTTCTACTTACCTGGCTTTGATTTAGTACTTGCTTGTTTCATAAGTATTCTCCATTTCTTTTCTATGACTTAACTACAGGAGAATCGGTTATTGAATTTTTATCCAAAAACTCAGTTTACAGCCTTAGGAGGAAAGGAGGAGAGAGAAATGGGGATTTCTAGAGGTTGAAATCCACTGAGATTAGGTGACCAAATGCACTGAATATAAGACTCAGCTCTGGTAATGTGTGTCTTGGCTGTCTTAAAATCAGTTTTTCTATATAAAATTGTGCAAGAGAGTCCATTCTGGTCTGACTTCAGTGATACTCTGCACAAATGTAAGAGTATTTGTTAACAGATCCACTTGTGGTCACTTTTGGTACCGTTTGTCTCTACCCCCCAAAGATAAGTGGCAAATAACATGTTCTTGCCTCAGTAGTTAGAATTCGCACAAGAAAACACATTATTTTTCTAAATTGATGACTTGTAGCAAAATCTGCTTGAATTGAGCTAAGCAGAAAAACTGTCACCTAGCTAACATGAATTTCTCTTGCAATTTTTAAAGACCTGCAGGCTAAATTTATCTGTCAATTTACTGTTTCACCAAGGCAAAAATATAAGTAATACATTTAATGCATTTTAATATTTAGCAACCATCATAATTGTTGAAAAACTGAGCATGTAATCATTTGGTACAGGAGGGGTGTGAAGGAAAATGGAAGGCAGTACCTCAAAACTTCACCTTTCTGTTTGGACAAAGGAATTCAAGCCAAGCTACTCTGCTTAGCTCCTGGGATTGCCAGTGCCCCATTTATCTTTGTCAAGTATTTCTTTGTTTCCATAACACTTTAGAGTGTATTGCAAGCAATACTACAGACATTCATGTCACATCCAAACCTGGTGTAATTTGGTGTCAGTGATAAGTGTGACTGTTGGAATGGCCTGCAAATATCTAAGAAATTGCATGAGAGTCCTCTCCAAATGCTCAGTTCCTTTCTGAGTGGTTAGCTGTATTCAGAACTCTGAACTGCTTGTGATGGTGTTTTAAAACCCAACTCTGTTGTAGGGGGTAGTTGATAGCTAACTTGTGGCACTGGTTTTGTTGCTCTGACAGGTAGGTGATCAGCAGTCAGCTATGTTTGGAGAATGCTGCTTTCACCCAGGAGATGTCAAACTGACAATGGGAACAGGAGGTTTCTGGAATGTGAATACTGGAGAGCATCTCTTTGCGTCAGGGAGAAGTAAGTGAAATTTTGATTTTAGGGTATTTCAGTCTTTCAGCTGTTCCTTGATAGCTGATAGTGATGAGGGTACACGTAGGGATAAAACAGGGCTATGTTTTTCCTTCTATCTTTATCTTGGGAGTGCTTTCAGAACAGAAGACTGGAAATTTTTCATTGGAAATGTAAATCTTGGTTATCCTGAAGTATGCTTCTCAGGAAGGAAATGTAAGTAACATCATATTAGTATCTGCTACCTGCATTTTTTTTTTCCTTTACCTGTTCTTGATAGCAGTATTATACAGTACAGGGATGGAGAAAAAAGGGATTGGTCCTCTTGCTTCTCACATCAAAATGTTCCAGTGGATCACTGTAAGTTCCTCCCCTTGTGACCTTAGCACTTGCAGTGAGAAAATGCAGGATTAGTTTTCTTTTAAAATATTAGATATGGGTTCCCTAATGTGTTTCTAGTGTTTAAAACTTTGTCATTCTGAACATTTGTGGTCTGTCAAGCTTGTTGATTTGTCATAGATGGCTGTTTGTCAAGAGACCAACAGATGATACTGAAGTAAATTTGCCTACACAGTCTCTCCCTGTCGTGTTTTTAAAGAGTTGCTGATTTTGAGAAGTCTGCAACTTACAGTGGGAGGAGTGGGGCTGGGAAGGGGACTGCAGTGTGCTAGGGAGACTTAGCAGCACAAGTCTGGAAGAACTGAATAGCATTGGCATTGAATTCCCTATGAATGCTAATGCTTTTTAGGCTAATTAATCATGTCATCATGATGATATTTTTACTTAGGAAATCATATGTAGTCTATGGAAATGTAATAGTGGAAAAACATGCTGTAAGGTTTTTCCATTTGGTTTTTCTTTAAGAAAATCCTTAGCTATTGTGATCTGATAGGAGTTAAAATCTTCTAAGGCAGTCTGTGCAACTTCTACTGCTTTAGGCTGTTATTTATGGTAAAATTATTTTCCTTGTGTTCTTTGGCTGTCGTGGGGTATGGTTAGTAGGACAAGTTAAATACCTGCCTTTCTCAGTGCCCTGGGCATGAAATGTAATGTGTTCAGTCTTTAAAGCTGATGTATGTATTTAAGACTGCAAGATAAGTCCATACAGCATCCTTTGCAAGCTGCTTATTAGCTGCTGTTCTAGTTTCTGGTCTACATTTAGCTCTATGTATGACAGTTTTGAAAAAAAGAAGTCATTTCTTGAAGAACAACACTTCTCAGAATTCAGTGATGGAATGATACTGTATAGATTTAAAACCTGTCTCTGGCAGTCTGGTGGTTCCTAGTAACTCTGGTCATGCCAAGTGTCATGTGGCTCCATTCCCTAGAGGTAGGATTATATTACACTACTGGAGACTCTGGTGTGAACATCTTTAAGAAGGCCATCTGATGGACTTCTCTGACCCTAATTTGCTGCCTTTCTTTGGGACTTCTGGCTCAATGAAGTTTTTGGTGTTTTTTCCTTTGTGGCTTTACCTTTGGTAAAAACTGAAGATTGTAAGGGACACCTGCACCAATGATCTGGAAATATGTGTAGCATTTTTCCCTTTCAAGAGGCAAACACAAGCTGTCATCTGAATAGGTGCTGATGATTGTTTTATGTTGTAAGCACCAGAGTGCCTCCAGCACTAACCAAGTTTCTGCAATCGCACGAGTACTACCATGCAACTCTTTTGGACACAGTCAAGCAAACTGGAGTGATTTTGTGAGGCTCACTCACGTATCAGCAAAGTCACCTTGAGAAAGTAGTGAGAATCCCTAGATCCTTCTGGTGCTTTTCTGGTCCTTGTAAACTGGGACTCATTTACCTTTGTTGCATTACCCATGATCTCTAGGTCCTGAGCAAGGTCCCATAAAGGCTGGGTGCTTTCTTCACTCCAGCAGTTACTGTACTTGGTTGGGTGAAGTTGCTATTTAGTGGCCACTGAATGCTTAGGTTCTTGTTCAGTGACCTGAAAAGCCTTTTGTCCAGCTGCAGTGGCAGAGAACATCTACTGTTCAGCTAGATAACAAAGTCTTTTTGCTTTAGCATTCGAAGTAGTACTCTACAGGATTCCTGTGCTGTGTTCTTACTCGTGCAGGTAGCAAACAAGAAGGTTGTTGTGTTCACACTGTCTGTTCTATGTCTTGCCAGTCATTGTTAAGGTTTCAAGATATCTGGTGGGGAGCAGAGGGCAAGAACAAATCATTGCATTTATCCTTATTATTAGCAGTTTATTCCCAATGTAATAATACCTGCAAGCTGACATCTCTTTGAAAGGTGCTGTACTGTGTTTTCAAATAAGGTAACAGTGTCTGCCCTATGTATGTCTGCCTTTCTTGAGAGAGAGAGAGGGGAAAAAAATTCCAAGCCATTCTAATTTTTTTGGGTCCCTGCAGAGCTAAAACACTTTGGTGGAAATCATAACCTCCTGCAAATCCCATCATGTAAACCATAGAAGTGCTAATCTTTATATTTCTAGGCAAAGTGTGTCACCAAGTGTTGTTAGTGAGTTTGAGTTTTGCTTTTGTTACCTGTATAAGGCAAACACAGATGTAAAATGCAATACTGAACCAGCAGTAGCCTTTGCTGGGGACAAGAATGGGCAAATTGTGAAATTCGTTCTCTTTTCTGCTTTCTATGTAAGGAAGCATTGCATATTGAAAAATGAGTTAAAAACTATATCACTTTCACCCTCTTCTGTGGATATGATTTCTGCTCTCAGTTTGTGTTGCTGTTTTTGTGTGTCTGTGTTTGTTTCAGTGTTTGTGTTGCCCACCTGAAAGCCCAACCTCCATGTCTTGTTTGGGAAAAAATCTGACTTTTTAGAAACCATTGAGGGAAATTAGATGGACTTAAAACAAATTGGAAAACATACCTAAAAATTTATCAATCTCTTAATCATATAAACAAAGTAAGTGCAGATAGGTCTTCAGTTTAAAGGGGGATTTTTTGTAATTTGAAAGTGATTATTCTCTTTCTTTAATTTAACCTGGGTTTAACAACCTGTTGCCTAAGTCTCTTGTAATTCCATCACTACATTTTTAAACAATATATTTGACCCCTACCAGTGACTTTTTTTAGCTTGAATCCTGCAAAGGAATTGAATAAAATGTATTTCTTTTTAGCTGGGTTTATTGTGGGGAATGCTTGTGTATGTTTTTCTGGAAACATTTAATTTAACTATGTGTTTTGTTTCATGGAAAATAATTAAGACCTTTACCCACTGATTGGTTGGAAGATTGGGGAAGAAGTTGTTTACTTAACGGAAGGCTCTATGTCGGATATTGGCACTGCTATAAAGTGGGCTCAGGATATAAGTAAGTTTATTAATTTTACATTAATAAAGTTCATTTTATAGAAGGCAAAATATATAACTGCTTAAGAAACTGGTTTTTTTGGGTTCATAGTTATGTTACTGGACTTGGTTTTATTATTCCTAACTGAAGAAACTTGCCCACATGTTTTGGACAGCAGAAGTGCACAGCCTTGTTGGTAGGTTCTCTGCTGAGTGTGTTTACTGCAAGGAGTTTGGTTTGCACAGTCATCTCCTCTTCAGACTCTGCCTCACATCCTCCTACCTGCGTAGGCTTTCATTTTCCTGAAGCATTTTACTCCTGCACTTGCTTTCTCTTGAGCATGACAAACTTCCTGATTCCACAAGAACTTGCTGCAATGCTTTTGAGAGGTCTCTAGTTATCCACCTCAGAATTAATAACAGGTTTGATGAATATGAAAATAAACATGAGGAACTTCTCAAGTAATGGTGTTGTGTATGTTGCTTCACGTAGAAGTAATGTGCCTTTTGTCTGGGATTATTATGTAATGAAAGGTTTTGCATTCCAGTTTAATGAAAGGCTAAGAAAATACTAGCTCTGTAGAACTCGATGTTCAAATCCAATGGTTGTTTATAGGACAACTGTTCTGACTGCTGTAATTTAAACTTAGAAATTTACTTGGCTTACTTAGAAATTAAGTACACTTTTACTGAGATGAAAAAAGGAATTAATGTCTCAAACTTTGGATTGTCTCAGAAAGGTTTTCCTGAAGTGTAGCTCACCACAAAGTCCCACATTTCTTGAAGTTGCCAGCTTTGGGTGCAAATGTGCATACATGTGCTCAGGTATGTGCCCTTGACTCAGATTGGTCCTCGAGTCTTCATGGTCCAATGTTTGACTGAGCCTAGAGAGTAACAGTCACTAGGTTTTTGAGGAAATTGCTTAATTCCATACACAGTTCAGTGTAGTAGACTCAAGCACCAGTGGTACATACATCAGTTTGCTACTTCAGATTCCATAAGTAAAATGGATACTTATCCATACGGAGCTTATCACTACTCAAAGTGGATATTATTAGTATATGCAGAAATATAAAGGATTTTTAGCTACTCAGCAGTAAAATGAACAATGACAATTGCTGCCACAGGAAAGACAAGGGGATGTTGTAGAGGGAGGTAAAGAATGCTGCTTTAAACTCTGTAACAAGTAAGACCTTTATTTTCTGAAAATATTATTGCAGAGAAGCAGAATTCAGAAACTTTAATCAGCTTTAGAGAAGGGTAAAACTTTTGCTCTAGAGAAGAAGAATTGGGCCAAAATACAAGGTAAACCAATGGCCTCAATAAAGGTGGTGAGGCTCAACATGGATGAAGATGAGAAGTAGTAGTGGTAAAGGTTTGGAAACAGGAATTTCTGCAGCAAGGCCAACTTAGCTTAATGGACTTCTTTTAGTGGGATCATATCACTTCTAGGAATTTTGAAGAAGTAGTATGTGGAATTTCAACATGAAGTCAATCTTACTTAACCTTTTTATTTTCTGTCCTGGTATAGAGTTACTATGTATATAAATTCAGTACTAGCAAATACAACAAAAAGGAAAAGATGTGATTTAGGTTTATTAGTCTGAGCACAGTAGAATCCAAAGTTTTCAAACAAATTCATGAAGGTTACAAAGGTAAATTGAAACTCCTGATAAGTTGCCAAGATGAATTTTTCAAAGGTAAATGAGATAGATTAGGTTAATCTATCTTTAATAGGTGATTCAGTTTTTAGACAAGAAGCAGCAATTGCTCTCATGTACAGGAGACCTCTGTTCTGGAAGAACATGTTATGTGGCCACATAAGGATGTTATTAGTTAAAACTGCAGAAGATGGGTGTTAACACAAGAATTACAGGTGGGTGAAGAACAAGTGATTGAGTCTGGAGAGTTATGAAAGGAGACAGCTGGCTAGGCAGAGAATGAAAGTAGTGTCTGTCCAAGAGGTGATACTGTCATAAGGGGTGATTACCTTATTTATGTGTCAGTCACTTGTAAAGAAACTAAGGGTGCTGATAAAATACAGGTATTAAGGACTCTCTCTGTAGTCATTTGGTGATTGGGCTGACAGTGACATCTTTGGGGAAGAAAATTGTGTTAAGTTTTGTGAACACTCTTAGAGTGCCATTGTGATAAGTCTCAGTTCCCACTTCTGTCTGTTTGGAAAGCTAATGACCTCTTCCAGGGTGTGAAGATGAAAAGGCAGTAGCACAACAAATATGAGAGGATCCTTTTGGGTTTTAGCCTTCATCTGAGTAGTTTGGCTTTTTTAGTGTGACTGATGGACGTGAAATAGTGGAGAAGTGATCATTTCCCTTAGAACATGTAATTTGAGATTATTACAAAAGCAAATAGTCTAACTCTAGACTTTTGTCTCTTAGTGAGACAAAATGAAGAAATCGAAGTAAATAATAAAAGCCTACAACTTATGCATCTTTACAGATCTTTTCACCAATGTAGATGAAACAGCAAAAATGGCACGGAGTATTGTTGATTCTCAAGGCGTTTGTTTCATTCCAGGTTTCCAGGTAAAATTATTAACAAAATAGAGAATATATTTTTAATAACCCATTTAAAAATTTAACTTTTACATGTTTAAATGTAGTAATTTACAGCTTATCACACCTATTCATCCTGTACTGCTCAGGTTCTTTTTGTCTGTCACACTCCACAGTATATGAAGGTCATGGTCATATGCTTCACCACCACCACCCCCTTGAGAAACCCTACCAAACAGGGAATTACTGGAGGACAGATAAGCTAAATGATTTGCTCACCATAACTCAGTGCCTGCAGAGACAGAAATCATAGATTCTCTGCCTCCTGCAGAGCCTGCATTGAGACAATACTTCTAAGCACTGTTCTAAAACAATTCCTTTGATTCTGCCTTTTTTCAAGACGTAGGTTGCGAGTCATCAGAATGTGTAAAGGTATGAGCAAGATTGTAAGTCCCAATGTTACAAAAAGCAAAGTTATTATTTAGACACTTCTCCTGGGAATGAGCAAACTCAGTATGGTGGACTTCTCTCAGAACTGATTGGGTTGAATATATAGCAGCTCATCTCTGTGTGTTTCTAAAAGGTGTTTTTACATCTGTCTTCATTTGTCTACCGCATTCAGTTTGATCATGTCCAGGACTAGTGTTTTTTTTCTGAAGAAATTTAACATCTTTAACCTAACTTCTGTGTGAATCCTGTATGCTAGTGGAAGAAGGCAGAGAAGAATTTAATTTCTTCTCCAGATAGCCCAGCTACCTTCTCTTAAACAGCCACCCTAGTCACTAGGGGTATGGAGCTAAGATGCCTCCATTTAGCATTTACTGTGAGTAACTGTGCTGCTAAATTCCAGTGTTTGCAGACAGGAATCCTGAGGCAGAGAAATGGCATTCTGAACCTTTTTTGAACCTTTATTAATACTCAAGTTCTAGAGATGCTGGCAAAACCTTTTTTGGTCGTAGGTTTTGTTTGTGGGTTTTTCTCCCCCTTGCTTTCTTGACACTGTCTCCATAAGGAACCCCAGCTAGCTTCTGGGTAAACATGGATTCAGTCTCTTTTCCCTAATTCTAATATTCCCAGTCTACATTTATGAGGTATTCTCTAAAAATTGAACAGATTTCTCTTTAACTGTGACATCTAGTAACCACTAATAGTATCCACCAGTGTGGGTTTCTTTGCTTTTTAAGTCTCCTGATTATTCCCGTGCACCATGGCACGTGTACCCTCACGGGAACAGAATGTGTATGGATTTAGAAACCAAGTGGATGAAAGGCTATGGAAAGGGACAGTTGAACACTTGTGGGACTGTAATGTGTCCTGTGTTTAGCTTCACTGACTAGATGCTAACACAAACTGATTCTATCACGATGTTTCTTACACCCCAGAGCAATCACCATTAGGGAAGGTTCTGAGGAAACTCATGTGGTCACTTCCTGCACAAAGTGAAATGTTTCTCTACTCATCTGTAATAAGGCAATATGAACAAGTTTCTTTCTTACTGGATTCTACTGCTGTGGTGTAGTGCACTGAGGGGAACATCATTGTGAAAGGGTACTTGAAATGGAGAGAATATTTGCATTAATCATTTTTTTCCTTTGACTCATCCTGCTAGAGACAGGAGTTTCCAGAGTCATTGCTGTGGTTAACAGTAAGAGCAGAAATGTAGGGCTCTGCACTGGGGTGTGTGCATATATATGCACTGCTACTTTGGGGTTGTTTTTTTTAAACGATTGATTCTTTCTAGATACCCTTATGTAGGATATGAGTCTATGCTTTTTAGTTTATTACGTTGCATATGAAAATCTGTTAACTTGGAAGACATGAATACATATTATGCTACTGAGCTGGACAAGTGGTTCCATTCTTAGAGTGGCAGGGGTACTTATATATGGAAACTAAAGGAATATTTTCTTTAACTCTAATGCAGAAGTTTCTTCTATTTAGGAATTTCTCAAAATGCCAGTTTTCCTTTTGGTTGTGTGTACCTATTGGTACATTGCTGGGGTTTTGGTTGGTTTGGGTATGTTTTTGTTTAACATCTGATGGCACTTCCTTAACTTTATAAATATGTGTGTATATATTTTAGAAGCATGAAACTCAAACTTTTTGTAAGTGTTGTCATAATTGAATTTAGCATAATACAACCAGAAAGGATTGTTTCAGTTTAAAAATTACTGTCTGGAGTGAAAATAAGATCTAACATTGTCACAAACCAGGTACAGATCAGCAGACTAGTATTTTGTGGTAAAGGTCACTGGAGGAGTGAAGGGTGGAGAGGAGAGTCATAAACTGATCCTCTAGTTCTCCTCCAAAAACAAGACAACTCAGTGACCATTCGTGTTTTAGCTGGACTGTGTTTATCGGTGTCACTGATAACAAGATGTAGTGTACCCTAATAAAAAGTATTACCATCCTGTTCATTGTTACTTTTAAAAGTCAATTCATCTTTCAGTAGTTCAGGAATGTTTTAACAAAAGAAGGGGGAGTATTCTTGCTAGAGCTCAGCAATATCAGTGTGGCCTGTCCTAGACACTTAAAGGGTACACTATGTGTATTTTAAAGAGAAATCATATGGATTAGTCTTAGTATGTCAGATTTGGAAGAAGTCACTTACACCTTTTGCTGTTGAAAGAAGCTGTTTAAACTGCTCACTGAGTAAGCTAAAATAACACTATATACTTCTTACATATTGTTTTCAATTTTCTGCTTTCACTATGCTGCCTGTAATTGTCGTAAGTGATTTTTTTTTCTTACTATTTGACTCTTTTCTCAAAAACCTGCAAATACAAGTCAATGAACTCATGGTGAAATCTTTTCTGCAGGTTTCTGTGAATGACCCATATTTGTGTGCCTCTTTCATGGGGCTGAAACCTTCCACTACCAGAAACCATCTTGTACGAGCTATATTGGAATCTGTCGCTTTCAGGTACTGTTTCCTTTGTTATCTGGCTTATATTTTCTTGTATTTGCTTTTATTTAGATCAGCAGTGTTAAAGGGATACCTGGACTTCTCCAGTTTGTAAAATACAAATCACAGTAATCTGTTACTGCTACACTGGAAAGGAGTTTTAGCTGCTCCCTTTTTTTTTTTGTTAACAATTTACAAATAAATCTGTGTATATTTGTTAGTTCAGGGGTTTTGTTACTAGGTAACCATATAGAGATTCTTAAATTATATTGTTTTCTGCATGTTCTAAAAGTGTTTTTCGTTTGAAGTTTGTCCCTACTCTCCTGACAGTGTTTTGTCAGAAGCAGTAGCACACTCCAGATGTGTTTAAAATATTCCTGAAGCTGGAAAGTTTTATATTAGCTTTTGCCTAAAGTTTGAAGTTTTCGTGTTTTATAAAACACAGTAACAGGCATCATAAGCATCTTTCAAGATGTGAATGGACAGCAGCTCCCAGATCTCTGAAGGCTGAAGACACTACTGCTGGTCACTGCTGATACCACATCAGTAGGTCATTGTAGAATGGCTTTGTTCTGCCTTGCCAACCCACCCAGCATGCCTCAAACTGGAGCTGAGTGTGTTTTGGGCCTGGCTCACACTGCACTGTGGCCACTTAGGGAGCACTGATGTGATTTCTTCCATCTAGTCACCAGCTTTGCTTTGGGCGTCAAAATCTCCTGCGAAGAGGCAGAAAGGATGTTTGGAGGAAGGCAGCACTCTGAATTGCTGCAGCTGTTCTGTAATGCATTTTGTTTCTGCTCTGTAAGCACAAACACGGGATGCAGTAATTCCTGAACTGACACATGGGTCTCTTGAAAAGGATGTTAAGGGATGTTAAGAATCTCATCTTATTCAAATACCTAACTGGAAAAGAGTAGAGATCCTTTGCGTTTAAATTCTCTGCCATTAGATGAAATGGTTTCAGAATAAGTGAAATTTGCAGCCTTCAGATATTTGCCTTAAAGAACAGCTGGATGAACTCTGAGTAACACTCTGGCCTGCTTTCCTCACTCTAAGCCACTTGTTACATCAACAAGTGCATCTTGCCTGTAGAAACCTATCAGCAGTTTCTGGTGGGAAAATGAACCTTTTACAGAGACTTGCTATAGAATGAGCTGTGATTTAGCCATACCTGTGCCTTTGTAACCATGTACAGCAGAGGCCAGTTTTGGTCTTTATTTATTTATTTGTTTATATATTCTAGAAACTTGTTAGCTCTTGCAGCAGTTTGGATAGAACTGAGGCTTTTTTTGCCTTGCATTGTATTTTTTGACTGTGTAGATACTGGAAACACTTTATGGAATATATCATGTTTAATTCAACTCAATATTTTTTTTAAGAAACAAACTGCTGTATGATATCATTGTGAAGAAGGTGCACATTCCTCTGCAAACTATTCGGTAAGTTCCATGTAACCTTTAAATTCCATATGTGGGAGTTAGATTTTAAATAGGTGTGAACTCCATTATACATTTTATCTTACTATAAAAATTCTGCCGTTACAAAACAGATGATTACCAAGTCAAATGTCAATGTAACTTAAGCAGCAGTAGAGTCTACCCACAGCTACTGGCAGTGGTGATTGTCAGTGGGTGCGTAATGAATTGCTCTGGTTATTAAAGCAATGATGAAATAGAAGGCAAATTCACCTTTCCAGGTAGCACTAGAGTGGATGCAGCAATGCCTACCACACAGGCCATTCTACCCTCATCATTTTTCATTCTGATGGTTTTTGTACTGGGTCTCTCTCTGACTGTTTTTTGAAGATGTTGGTTAAAACTGGATCTGTTTGCGAGGGAAA